AATTTTCTTAATTGTGGTTCTATGTATATGAAGCATGTTCTCTTTATATGCCTGTTTCATCAAATGTTTATTTGACAAGCAATATATGAGAAATTCATAAAGTTGATACTAAGAAAGTACAACTTGACTAAGCATGAGATATGTTATAAAATAGGTTTCATATAAATTATCTGATGTTCTTGAGCTTTTAGGCTATTTAATTTCATGAAATGGTTTGCTTTTGAATACAGTCAGCTCTCAGTAAACCAATTTCTGAATTACTTGTTACTTAATAGAAGACTTTTCATCTGGGACCAGATTTTCCTTCTGTCCTTGTGGTCTTTTTATGTGTGTCCTTTAGGAAGAGGTAATAATGTCTGTTTGAATAAACAGCCCAGATGTCATTCTGGTACCCAGTAGAAGGAAGAAGGCTAGTGCCTAAAGCTTCCCCAGAAGAAGTCAGTCCTTGGTGGTGTGTCCACTCAAAGTCATCAGTGATTGGCTGACAGTTGGCTGTATTTAGAGATCAATTAAGTACTGTCATTTGTACTGACATCTTTTAATGTTTAAGATGACTTCCTTTAAATGTTTAAAGGAAACCCAGATAAATAAGAATTCAAAAGTAGTGACAGGTGTGGATGTGCTCATGATATAATTGTTCCTTTATCTCTCCTGGAAGCTAAGCGAAGCCAATCTATCAGCAACTGTGTCCACCTTTCTGAGGTTTTGCCTGCCACTAAGAGCGTCCCCCTCCTTCTTCACACCGTGAGCACTCTCTTGCCTGGTCTCTCTTACTCCTCTTGCTCTCACAGGCTGTCAGGTACTGTAATGCTGTCTCCTGTGTCCATCCATGTCCCTGGCTTCTCCCTCCTGCCCTTGGGCCTTGCTTCCTTCATTGCTTTTCCCATGTCACACTAGATTCTGCCCATTGCACTTGTGTTAAATAGCAAAGAATCTTGATCATTATTTTTGTGTAGCTGATGTTTAGTAACAGTCACTAAAAATGTCTATAATGTGCTGGTTACCATATTCATACTGATAATTTTAGTGAAAAACAAGTTAAACAGTTGCTGATTTCCAAAACATTTTGTTCTTAGGCTTCACCTAGTTGAAATTAAATTTAGTCGTGTAGTTTTTTTTGTTTATCTCAGAATAGCTAGAGTAGGAGATTTTGAATGAGCTTATCAAATAAATAACAAAAGTGGTAGATATGCTAGTTACCTGATGGGATCTCACATTACCCAGTGCACATATAGATAGCATGCTGTGTGTTATCAGTATGCATGATTATCCTGTGTCGGTTATTCAAAAACGGTACCTCTATACCAAAGCAATTTTTGTCTTTTTTTTTTTTTTTTGCCTAGTTACTTCCAAGAAGAAATTTACTTTTCTGTAGTATAGTGAATAATTTTATCTAGATATTTCTCAGTAATTCTAAGATGAATTGACTCTTTTTAATAAATAGGGAAACTTTTTCATGTTCTTTTTTCTGAATTCGGACACATAGATTAGTACTTTTTAAATGTGGAAGATAGCCTAATTGTGCTTTTTTGTAGCACAAAAATTATAGCACTATTGTGTTTGGCAAAACAAAGTTAAGGCTTGATCCTCTAGTGGCTTTGTAAAATACCATACTATTTACTTTTCTAACTACAAGGGAAGAAGTTAGCTTTAACTGAGACTGCAGATGGCATTTCTTTTTTTTTAAATGTTTTATTATTTTTATTTTGTGTATATGAGTATATTGCCTGCATGTATGTAAGTGCACCTGTGTCACGTAATGCCCCAGGAGGTTAGAAGAAGGCATCGGGTCTCCTGGAACTGGAGTTATGGATGGTTGTTAGCCACCATGTGGGTACTAGGTATCGAACCTGGGTCCTCAACAAGAGCAGTCAATGCTCTTAACTGCTGAGCCAGCTCTCCAGCTCCCCTGACTGTTTCTTAGAAAATCATTTCTCTTTAGTAAACACAAGGTGAAATCAGTATGCCTAGCACATGGGAAATGACAATTCCATTACTTCCCAGTAGTAAGTGCATGATTATTTAGTTCTCTAGAAAATGCTGGAGGTGATTAATAGAGTCTCTAAAATAACTATGCTCTATACTTGTCTGATAGACACCCCCCAAAAAAATTCTTGAAAGGGAAAAACTTATTTCACAGTCTATTTTATTTCCATACTGTTTCACTTAAGTTTTCTCACTAGTTTTTCTGGAATATGTTCCCAGGAGAAGGGATTCTTTCTTGTTAATAACTTCATTTTTGGAAAATTTTGTTTATACTCAGAATTTTGTTTTGTTTTACTCAAATGCTTGATTCTCATATGTGCATATATGGTTCTAACAGAAGTTAAATGATTTACAGCAATGTCTGTCAATTAGGGATATTTGGACAACATCTGGGGATATTTTTGATTATCATAGTGATACTGGCATCTAGTAGGGAGAAGCCAGAGCTGCTGCTAAACATCCTACCCTCCTCAGGCCAGCACACATCAAAGGATGATCAGGCCTCAAATACCAATACTGCAAATAGGGGCAAAACCCTAAAGGTAGGGTTGGAGAGATGGCTCAGCAGTTAAGAGCAATGGCTGCTCTTGCAGAGGTCCTGAAGTTGGTTCCCAGCACCTGCATGGTGACTAGCAACTGTCTGTAACTCCAGTTCCAGGGGATCCATGGGCATTGTACGACACAGGTGCACTTATGTACATGCAGGCAGTACACTCATACACAATAAATAACAAAAACAAAACAAAACACCCTAACTCCCTGGTAGGGTGAAACAGGCTGGACCAGGTCTGCATTTTCCTATCTTTGTCATCCTCATTCCTGTTTTCTATGACAAAGTGAAGAGACTTAGGGCAGAGTGACTGATGATAATCTGCTGTTGTTGGTTTCATCTAACAGCTACAGTGACTCTTAATCTAATGTCAGTTGTCCCCTGCTAGTTAAAATGATGCCATTGTCTTTTGTGACTGACCTATCAATAGATTAGGCCAAGGGTAACATTTATCTGTCCTCAGTCTTAGAGTGTACATTCCCTTTCGGTTGGCATGTTGCAGCATTAAATTCATGCATAATTTAAATTCGAGTGGGTGGGCACACTCTGTTAAGGTATTGCTAAATAACAAGCAGACTCTTTGAAATTTTCTTTATGGCCACAAGTTGGGTGTTTATTGCTTTTCCTTTTGTTTTACTCTCAGTAGTTGCTAATTTGGTTTGTACTGAAGACAACATTTCTTGGTTTTCTTTCTAATCTGTGTGAATAGTCAGCCCACCAAAATGATAGTAATAGAAGCAATAGAGAATTACCTTCAGCCACATTTCCTCATTATGATCCTTTGGAGACTCATTTGGCAGCAACAGCAGATTTGGGGAGCTTTTTATACTGGGTGGGGGAAAAAGTAGTGTTTGTATTTCGGAAGAATCACAGCCACCTACTTCCATTACTGTGAGTAGCTGGGTTAAGGGAAAAACTACGCCAAGAAAGCAGGCTTGTTTGTTTGCGGGGATTCCCACTTTTCTATTGTAAGAACAGCTCCTTCCAACTGGTTTGCAATTTTAACTGCTTTCCATTTGGGGGCATTTATCAATTTATAGCCCTTAGATACTATGTGAATGGTCGATTTTATTTTTCATTTGGGAATATTGTAATGGTAGTAATGAGTGAATCAATGCCTTCCCTTGTCTTAAAGTGACTTATGGAACCTCAGAGGAGGCCTCACACAGCTGCTTCTGCATCTTGTTCATAGGCTCCAAGGAAGTGCTTCTTGTTAGGATACAAACTGACTCACTTTTGGAAAGCTTGACCTTGTAGACAGCTGGGTGTTGAGTGGCTATGTATCTCCTGAGCTTTTATAAGGTCAAGTTGGCATCATGCGTGGTGTTTTAAAAACTAGAAAATTTCACTCATAATTTTGCTTATGCAGTCATATGGAGAATAAATGGAACCTAGCATTTTGCTTCTTGAAGGATGAGACTCACCTCATTTAATAGGATTGGAAGGAAGCATTTGATTAAAGAATGAGTGAATTGCTGAAGAAAATTTAAGTTAACTAATGAGCATATTACACATTTAGTTTAAGCATGCTGACTCTTTTCTCAGTGGGGGAAAAAGAAATTAATCTTTATGATCATTTTTCTGTTTTCAGTGGAGCTTCAGAAAGCAGTAGGCTAGTAATGGTGTTGAATAACTCATACCCTCAGGAGACAAGAAAGTTAGTGCTTTTAGATGTTGGGTTATTGGGATTAACTTGGCTTCACAGAGAGCAAATGAACTTAGAATCTGTGATAGAATTGAGTTCTTTGAAGTGATTCAGTAGAAATTATGTAACATACAGAGCAGAGAATGCATTAGATTTAAGATTTACTGCCCAATTGTTACATACCTCAGATGGGTCCTTTTCTACTTTGACAGGTAATCCTGTATCTTTGTATTTTCCTATAAATGTTAAAATAATTTTCATTTATTACAAAAGAACAACTGCATCACTCCACACCACAGAAGGGAGCAACCTTAGCAGAGCTTGCTTTCTTAACAAATAACATGCCAGCAGAGGGAGCCCAAGACTGTGAGGAAGGGAAGGATGTTAAGGAAGAATCATTCTGCATTTTATAAAGCCTGTGTTGAGTACTCATTGTAAAACATACACACAAACCCAAGAAATGTACACTCTCAAATCAGCAAATTAGGTTTATATTGTGGCATAAGAATAATTGAAGTTTCTTCTTTTCCAAATTGTCTCGTTTGACAGTCAACTCTAAGAGGAGCTGAGGCCCTAGCAGAACAGCAAGGCATGTGGCTGTCCCTTCCTTCCACTCCTATCACCCATTTTTCCATCCCTGCCACTTCCGGTTAGTTCTACAGGCATGGATTTTCTCCATCTGAGAAGTCCCTCTTGACAGTTTTACAAAAACAAAGTCTTAAAAGCTGTATTAGGCCCGCCTGTTGGGAAGGCAGACCAGCTGGTGGTAGCAGGCTCCTCGTCCTCTGTCTGCCATGTTGAGGACCAGTGGGGACATTAATTTGGAAGCCATGGTGCTGTGACTGTATTGCATCCCACCAGATGGCGATGTTCTTTATCTTTAGAAAGATGCTGCCAGTGTTGGCTCAGCTCTTATTTGCTTCTGCTTATAACCCAGAAACTGGCATCTACTAGTTTTGGCATCATGCTTTGGAGAATAAAACCCACTCTTCCCACTATTCATAAAAATGGGTTCTCGCCAATGATTTTTCAGAAAGTTAGGAAGCTCTTGGGCTCCCTCTAGTGATACAGGAATAACAAGTTGGTTTATTAACAAATATAATTGCTTCATTTCAGTGTCCTGCATATAATTAGAATGAGAAGACAGCTGGAATGACTGGCCCTATAGTATTTAATTTTACTGGCCTAGTGCTAAAGACACTAGGAGTGCTGTAAAGGGCCTAGTCTGTGCTTTGGGATAAATAGGTAGGTAAAAGGTATGCACATATGCCTTATGTTTACTCTGTGGAAAAATGAACAGTTCTTGGCTGTTCAAGAGAAATAGTAGGCAATCAGATGGCCTGGTAAAAATGAGACTTTAATGAGTCTCTTCTTTCCCTGTTGGCCTATCTTTTCTCTGTGCTCAGATTTCCATCAGCATTCATGTTTAAACTATGGTCTAGGTGGAGCTTTGATTCATAAGTGATGCATCACACAAATTTCAGTTTAGAGACCTTGTAATCATACCAGTATACTATAAAATAGAATTTTTATTTGGATAAATAAAGAATAGAGCAGCAACCCTTAGTGGAAGTACTGTGTATTAAACTTGGGATCATCCTATGTACTTCTTAGTTGGAGTGAGCCTTTGCTCCATCTTATGGTCCAGGCTGGAGGGCTACACATACAGTGGGATTCATCCATTGGCAGTGAGTCTCCATTTCAGGTGAGAAACCAGGTGACATAGCCAGGTAGGATAATACAGGCTGAATTTTGGGAGCTCCCTTCTTAGAAGTAGTGAAACCTTTAATTGATTAAATTTTTTTGAAAGATGATGATATGGCTGTGAAGTTTTATGACTATGTTAGTGAGTTTGGAGTCTCATGAGAGCTGTAGGTTTTGCATGCAGGCCACATAGCAAGACATATATTGGGATATGCATGTGGCAGCATGGGGATGAAGGGGCAGGGAACAGGACTGAGGTTAGCAGAGAGAAGGAAGAGAGCAGCAGGAGCCAAGAGGATCAGCATTGCTGAGACTACATAGAGTGGGAGCTCTGGATGATGACTGGGGACTAATGTGAGGGGTTGGGGCCCCAGGATGGGCCTATTCATCAAGTAAGCACAGGGCTTGACTAATGGCAAGTGGCTCATAGGGTTTTAAATGGAGAGACACAGACAGTTTTCATTTTAGAGGCACCTCCCTGTATCTCTACAAAAGAAGGAAATAGTGAGTAGTGTGCAGGGTATTCTATGACCCGGACAGAAAATGATGCATTCTTGAGGCCGTGAGTCTAGAGAGGGAGTAGAGTGACTATTCCAGTACCTTGGCTGGTCTTTAAACATTAAAACGAATTGTGCATTTTAGAAATGAGCTCAGAGGAAACATTCTTCAGAGGAACAGAGTATATAAAATACTAGCTGAGATTACCTACTGTTGAATGCTCATCTGTGGTTTTCTATTTTATGCTATATATGTGTTGATTCTCTAAAAATACCAGTGGTATCAGTGGTTAAGAGCACTGGCTGCTTTTCCAGAAGACCCAGGTTTAATTCCTAGCACCCACATGGTGGCTGACAACCATCTGTAACTCCAGTTCCAGGGGATTCATCACCTCTTCTGGCCTCTGTTGGCACTGCGCATACATACATGCAGACAAAACACACAGACATAAAATTAAAAAATAAATTTTTCAAAATAAAAAAAATACCAGTGGATCATTTTTGTGCTTTGGTGGTTAGTTCAACATTGCACTTGGTAATGTAATGTAAATCATTACATAGCATTTTATTTTACACAATTGGCTATATATCCCTTAAAAATAGCAATACATTTGGAATTCCCATTTTCTTTTATCTTAGAGCGTGTTTCGGGGTGCCACTTTCTACTTTCTTCAGTTCTGTGCATTTCCTGCATGGCTGGATCTTTCCTTCCTGACCCTGAACTTTCAAATGACTTAGAGCTATCATCCATTTTGTAGTTCTCTTCCTTACCCCTTTCATTTCAATTGAGAAATAAAAAGCTAATTAGAACTTAAGAAGAAAATATATTATTGGAGTGGAATATTATTGTTAATAAGTATAGGACATTTAATGATATAAATGTAGATTGTCTTACTGAAAATATTGTATGAAAAAAATCTTTGGAACTTAGTACTTCAAATCCGTTGTTTAAGCATTGAAAATGTTTTTAAAATCTTAAACCACAGCCCTGCATATTTTGTGTCAATGCTTACAGAAGTGGAGGAGTTTCAGCAGCTGGAAAGTGCGTCTGCAGTCGAGCCTGGTTACCTCATAACGGGACAGCAGGTCCTCCGGAGTAGCAGTACATCCGACATCGCTGAGCCACTGTGCTCAGATCCTCTTCAGGGTATGTGGAGTTTTCGGTTGTTTGTTTGATTGATTTTATTTTATTTTATTTTATTTTATTTTATTATTTATTTATTTATTTTAAGACAAGGTCTCCCATGTAGCCCTGGCAGGCCTGGAATGCTGTAGACCAGGCTGGCCTCAAACTTGAGTGATCTTCGTGTCTCTGCCTCCCAAATACAGGGATTTCTCCATGGATGCCTGAGTCTTCAATTGCTATTACAGAATCATAGATTTGGGCTTGAGGCAGGGGTAAGCTGCAGGTAGTACATTTATTCTAAATATATTTATTCATTTCAAGAAAATGTGTGTGTGTGTGTGTGTATGTATATATGTATGTATATGTGGTGAGCTGTGTGTTGTTACTGTGTGTGTTTCACCTTTTTATTTTTTTGAGACAGGATCTCTCACTGACCTGGAAACTCATCCATTCAACTAGACTGGCTAGCCAATGAGCTCCATACTCCAAGAATCCTCCTATAACCCTCTCTCCCCAGGTTAACAGGCCCATGCTGCCACATCTAGCCCAGGAATTGACTTTTTAATTTAATTATAAGTATGTGACTTCTGAAAATGAAATGTTTGTTGTTTAATATATTTATGTAACACAAACACACTCTCATCAACTCTTTGAATATGGCATGATTGGAGACAAGAAAGGAGTCCAAAGTGACTGGAGTAGGAGGGAGCAGAGAATGTTCCTAGACAAGGGGAAAAGATTAGCAAATCAGACAGAAAGGAGGTATAAGAGGAAGTAAGGGACAGGCAATGGGCTGGGCTAGAGTGGCTGACAATGAGAACAGAAGGCTGATCAGGGTGTGAAAGTTTATAAGCAGCTTGCATACTTCACTGAGGTTGGAAGTAAACCTTTAAAGGCATCTGCCTATACGGGTTCTCTAGCAGTTTGTGCAGCAACAGGGTAAGGAAAGTGAAGAAGCTGCCAGGTTATTACTGAACTGCAGGCAGTGAGAAGTGTGTGTGGCAGTGAAAAGCATGTTTAAATTGTGTACAATGTCAGGAAATGCACTCCTGTTCCATTTTAGTACCATGAGTTAAATTCAGAAAAAAACTTGCCTTATTAATCAGCAGGTTCTCATAATTTCTAATGTCAGGGCTACTGAATGAGTAGGAATGGTTTTATTCTTAGAGATCCTCTTGAAATAAAAATCTATAGGAAAAAAGGGCTGGAGAGATGGCTTAGCAGTTAAGAGCATTGACTGCTCTTGCAGAGGACCAGGGTTCGATTCCCAGCACCCACATGGTGGCTAACAACCGTCGGTAACTCCAGTTCCAAGGGATCTGACACCCTCTTCTGACCTCCACAGGCATTGCATGACACTGGTGCACCTACCTACATGCAGACAATACACTCATACACATAAAATAAAAACAATAAATAAAATGTTTTTTAAAAATTTATAGTAAAAAGAAAAAAGTATTGTCTGAAAGGCTTTCTTCTCTTTGACAGGTTTTATGTATGGTTGTTATTAGAGATACTGGTATCCTTAGTAGTAGAACTCTTGTCTAACATGCAGCTTAAGAAGAAAATTTAAGCATGTGCTTAATCCCCAGTACCATCAGGGAAAAAAAAAAATTTTTTTTTTCTCTTAAATATTTGGGAGAATCCACCAGTTGCTTGGAATTTTCTTTTAAGAAAGTTTTAAAATACTTTCAAATTTTATAAAACTTCATTTGAGAGAGGAAAAAGATTGGGAGATCTGTTATATAATATGGTGATTACAATTAATAACGATGTGTTTCATTCTTGAAGCTTGCTAAGAGAATTGTTTGAGATAAGGTCTCCATTAGCCAGGTTGGCCTGGAACTTGCAATCTTGTTCCCTCAGCCTACTAAGTGCTGTGATTACTGGCATGGACCACCACACCTGGCCAAGAAAATAGATGTTTAAGTACTCTCATTACATGAATGTGAGGTCATGCATATGCTAATTAGCATGATTTATATGTGCATGTTTTATAACGACATGTTATATAACATAAATATGCGATATTTGTCAAGTGAAAGTTTAGAAATTAAAGGAATATCCAATGACTTAGATTTCCTTAGTTTGGTTTTGCTGTTTTTAGAAACTGGTTCTATTTGTTAATTTTTTGAAAATTATTGGCCACAGATTATTCATCAAATCCTCTTGCGATCAATTTTTAAATCTTTGCAGGCTTTGTGGTGGTGTTCCCTTTTTAAATTGTTGAACCTATGTGTGCTTTCTCTTGCAAGTCAAGCAGCATGGAGCCACCTTACTGCTCCCTTCTTCCTGTTGTTTCACAGGTCATTGCAGGCAGCCCTTCTGTGAGATGCTGTCCCCAAGCCTTCCTTCTCAGGAGTGATGTGTCATGTGCTTCTGTGCCATCATAAGGCACTCAGTAGACCTGTGAGCCCCAATGAACAGCATTCTATCTACTCCAGTTCAAGCTATCTGTTGTCCAAAGACCAGGTCTCTATGTAGATCAGCTCTGTAGATGCTGCCAGTCTGGAGCCATAACTCACACCTTTACATGATCTGGGATGTCTAGGTGCAATAGTTTATCTGTTTTCTGTCTCTGCCTGCTTATCAGTTGGTCTTTGTGTGTATCTGTCTGTCCAGTTGTCTATTATTTTCTTATTTTGCCTTCTGAAACATTCATTTTTATCATTTCCCTCCCAAAATCTCTAGGTCAAAAGGTAGAAAATGCACAGAATTTGAGTTCTTCAGAACCTAAACCTGTTCAAGAGAATAAAGGACACGTGAAGAGGGAACATGAAGGAATAACAGTAAGATTTCAAAAAGAAGATCCATTTGTCATTATAAACAAGCATAAATTATACCACAATAAATGCATTTATTAGTGGTGTTTTAAAAGGTTTTTTTTTCCCTCCCCCATTGGGATAAATTATAGGTCCATATAACCTTGAAGTCCCTTGAGGTTGTGCTTGCTTTCTATGTTAAATGTAGTCATTCTGCAAAAATAGAGGGAAAGTCAACATGAAATCCAATTTCCTGCCTGACCTCTGTGTGGTACAGTATACTTTTGAGCAGGTGTACTTGCCTATAAAACCTGCTTTTTAGATTCTCCATTCTTGATATCATTTTAGATGATACCCTCGACCTGACACAATAATCATAAAAATCTGTTATGGTTTGTTAAAAAAAAAAAAGTCATTTACTTAAAAAATAAATATAAGGCTTACAGAAGAAATTAAAACATAACCTGTAACCCATTCTGGCAGATAACCTCTGTTAATTCATTTTTTGAATGCACCGTATACTTATAGAGAACTCCTATCACAGAAAGGGATAAAATGTCTCCTTGTTTGGAAGATAAGTGTTCTTCTTTTCCTTTATGTTTAAAAGGAACATGTACCAGCTTGCCTGTGTATTCCTGTTTTTCTACATTGAAGCAGGCACAGACAAACCCATTCTCCATCTTAAAAGTTGGAATATTTCTAGCGGTGTTGCTTTGACCTCCCAAGTTTCTTTCTTACCCTCTCCTCTTTCCTCTCAGACAGTGGCAGGATCTTGTTTTACCCTATTATTCTGCCACATATGTGGCTCCAAATAATATGTTATTTAGTTTTTCTTATCTTTTGAATTTCTAAAAAGAAAGTATTCTATAGAGGTACTGCTTTTTGTTCACTCAGTTGTGTATATTTTATCCACATGACAATATGTAGCAGTTAATTTGTTGAATTTTCTGCTATATGAGATTCAACTATGAGTACCACTTAGTTTTCCATTCTTCAGTTGATGGGAATTTATATTCTTTGCAGTTTTTAAGTTTTATGAACAATGCAGTTGTGCATCTTCTTAGATGTATCTCAAGATCTGTGTGTTCAAAGTTTTCTCATGACTATTTAGGAGTGGAATTAATGAATTATACAAAACCAGATTGTTCTTCTTTAAAAGAACAGTGTACATTTCTGCCAGTGATATACATTGCCAGTATTTTGTGCTGTCAAGTTTTAAAAAAAATTATTAGTCAACTGCATGAAAATCGGATCTCTTATTTGAATTTCTTAGATTACTAATAAGGTTTGAAGTCTTCTATGTTGATTGGCCATTTATCTGTGTTTCATCTGTGACATGCCTGCTGATGGCTTTTGTCATTTATTTATTTTTTGTCTATTTTACTTGTGCTAGTTCTTTGTTTAGTCTGAATATTGACTGACTATTGACCACATTTGGTTATGTTTGTAGTACAAGTGGCTGTTTTTCACTCTGGTGTCTTTTGGCAAACACAAATTCTTCCTTTTGATATTTTCTGTTACCATTATTATGGTAGAGTTTTATAGGATTAAAAAACTTTCAACTATAGAGGCTAAAATTATTACCTTGTATTGACTCTGTATAGCGTTTCACTTTTGTTCTATCCCCATGTAAGTCTTTTAGCACCTGGAAGTGGCTCTTATTTTATGGAGAAAGGTAGGGATCTAGTTTCACCACCTACCCCCCAAACTGGTGTGTAGGTCTCATTTTTGCATGTATTTTTCCTTTATTCATCTGAATGCCACTCCTGTGTCATATAACGCAGTTTCCTTGATTTTTTGACTCTGGGTATTTTGTGTCTCTGAACAGTACCACAGCATCTTAACTACTGTAGCTCTTCCACTTCCTCTTTTCCCTACCTCTTCTTATAGAGACTAGTTTTTCTGTCTTTCATCTCCCCTTGTTGCTGCTGAGATGTCATCTCTCCGTCATCCTGTCCAGCTGTTTTTTGCTGCTCTAGCCTTGTCCTTCTCTTTTACTGTAGTACATTTAGGTAGAGATTTTGTTTGGTTTGTGTGTTTGTGTGTTTTGGTATGTGCTGTGTTCCAGTGCATCTGTGAATGCTTTTCTTCTGCCATTTTTGGGTACATTCTTGGTACTAATTCCTTCAAACATTCATTGTCATACTTTAATTCTGTCTTCTCTTTCTTTCAGGAATTCTAGTTAAAAATATGTTAGACTTTCTCATTCTGTCTTCCATGTCTCTAAGCTTCCTTGCTTCTCCATTCTCCTTAGTCCTATGGATGCAGTCTAGATTGTTTCATCAATGGAAGGATGTCCTCAGTCTTTCATCAGTACAGTAAGCCTGCCATGATGAGATAAGCCATGGAAGTGATTCCTGTCAACCACAGTGTGCAGCCAGAGTTTACATGGCTCAAACTCTGCACTTGGACGATGTTTGCTCTATCATATTTCTGTTGACGTTTTGTTTTGTTGTTGGTTTTTTTTTTAACCTTTCAAGTGTAGTTTTTGCTTCAAAGTCCAAATTTATTCTTCTAAGTATGTCTTATAACTTCTAATAATCTCTTGTTGCTTGCTTATCTTTACAATTCTCATCTTCTACTACTTTAAAATCTTTGCAGTTTCTAATTTTAAATTCTTTTTCTGGTTTGCTAGAATCCTTTGGAGATTTAAATCTATAAGATGTTGCTGTTTATGGGCTCATATTCCTAGTGTTTTATTTCCATTGTTGTTTGGTTGTTTGGTGATCATTGTGTATTCCTAGTTGGCTGATCTTAATCTGTAGTAAACCTGGGTGTTTAAATTGATGAGAATTCCTCAGGGGACAGCATTTTCTATCTTCAGTGAATCAGGAAGTGCCACTTTAATCACAAGTCTCTGTCCTGAGACCACTGCATGGTAATAATTGGATTTACCTTCATGAAGCCTCATTAGATTGCTGTGACTTGTGCTCACTTTGAGGGTGGCATGTGGCTCTCTTTAAGAGTTCTGCTTCCTTTGAGCTCCAAGTGTGCAACCAAGTTTTTATGTGGCATTTAGCTCTACATGTAGAGGCTGTTTCGTCTCTCAGGCATCAGAAGCAAAAGAGCCCCCATAACTTTGTAGTTAAGGGCATACCCCAGGTATATTTTTATTTGAGTCATAAGATATAAACCATTGTATATTAAGGCTGTGTATTAATTTTTCATATAATATTAATCTTCTAAATTAATGTAATTTTAATTTTCTATAGTATTAATCTTGACTTCTTTCTAGACTAGTAGCTGTTCTTTACAGCATACATTTGTCTCCCTTTTCAGTTGTTTGCTTTAACCTTGAATCTCAGATGTTGTTTTTAAACACATATTTTGTAGTGAGAAGCTTAAATTTTCATTTCTATTCTGGGCTCAATTCTCTATCTCACTACTCCTGAATTTCTTGTTGTCTAGTTATAGGGCTTTTTTTTTTTTTTTTGACTATACAGCCCAAACATAAAAGTGTCATACATTCCTCTAGATTTGTCCCTTCTGTGACTTAGTTTCTCCCACTCCCATCCACTCCTGGCTGGAAGCGCCAGCTGCAGTTCTGCAGCGTTTTTCTTATTCCTTTCTTCTCTCTGTCCATCTTCAGGAGCCTTTCACCTCACTCCTGAATTGCCATAACAGTTCCACAGCAATTTTCTTCTTCACCAATACCTACCACACAGATAAGTGCCGAAATTGTCCTTCTAGTTACGAATTCAATTACAGTTAGCTACTGTCTGAAATATACAGTTGCTGATTTTGTTAATACTAGGTCAAAAGTCCTAACCCTCATGTTGAAGGCTCCCTGGCCCCTGCCTCTTTTACAAGGTCTGGGCTTTTCCTCTTTCTCCTTCTTCGCCTGGCTGTCCTGCATGGCCTGCTATAATCAGCTTCTTTTCCTGCACATAGAACTTGCTGATTACCACTCCGTGCTTCCTGCCTTGAGTCCCCTCCTGCCTTCCCTCTACCACTTCATGTCTATTGCCTTCTTGAACAGCTCTCCTGTTACTGTCAGCCGATTAAGGTAACACTTTATTTTCATACCTTTCACAGAGAGTTTATTTGCATATTTTGCTTATGTACATTATAATTATTTTGTGTAGTTTGTGTATGTTTTGTCCTTCCCAGAAAATTATAAGTATCTAGGGGATGCAGGTTGCCTCCTAAATTTTCTTAATCCCCTGTTTTCAACATAAGGTTCAGTGTTCACCAGTGCTTAAGTAATTCCCTAGTATATTAACTAGGAAGGCTCTCACCAGCCCTTTGGAAGTCTGTGAAGTATGTACCTTCCCCTGCATTCGTGGGGAGCTCAGGGCTTCTGGAGAATTGTGTGACTATGTATGTGGACTTGACTTGAGAAACACACAGAACTTTAAAATAAATCACCTCCACAGAATTTGGTATCCTTTCTTAGTAGATCTGTTTAACTGGATGTCAGTAGACTAGAGACTATAAATTGAAGTTTCAGATCTTGAGTAATATATAACTTAATTATAATAACTTGTGAACACATAATCTTCAAAAGGAAAACATCATTCAGTGCGTGTCGCTATTATTGTTTCCTTTTCCTGAAAAATGTGGGCTAGGATCTTAACAGTCTGGTAAGAATTTTAACTTTCCTGTAATGAAAGCAGCATTTCTTTTTGTCTGAAGATCTTAGTTCGAAGAAGCAGCAGCCCTGCTGAATTGGATTTGAAGGATGAATTACAGCAGACGCAAGGAAAATGTAGGGAAAGACAGAAGAGTAAGTTCCAGGAAACGGGGTCTGCATACATCTAACTGTAGAGTTGATATGTTTTGTTTTCTCCTTCTTTTCTAACTGGAGTGGTTATCTTATCAGTAGGGGAGACACAACTGTGGAGTGGAATATTTTTGATCCTGGAACTTAGAAATGATATAAACTTAATACAGTTATTAAAACAGTTTCAGTCAGTTACATATACCTGAGAGGCCTATATTTTCATTACTGGGCCTTTCTCCAGGTGAGAGGAACAGGAGGGGTCAGGGTCTAGGGAAGTAGACAGGACAGACCCAGAAGGAGAAACCAGCTTCTTAGGAAAGTTCTTGCAGGTAAGAAACACAAAGCTTCAGCAGTACATTAAAGTCAGTGGGTATGTTCATGAAAGTGAAATTTGACTGGAATCGTAAGATGGATTATCACATGCTATATAGTATGGGTCTTGAGCTCTGCTTTTCTGTACTCGGAGTTCAGGCCATCTCTGTCAGCATAGCCAAAAGGTAGCCCCTGGATACCCAAGCTGGCTTTTGATGACATGCAGAGCAGCTCTTCCCATATGTCACTTTCCCTCCCTCCCTGTTGGCTTATACCTCTGTGAAAGATGAGCTTTGAGACCTAGCTGATGGGTCATCTGATTACTGAGAAAACTTTCAGTTTTTTGCAAACTGATAGAGGACAGTAGATAAAAACAGCGAAGCTTAGGGACGTAGGCAGGAGACCTCAAGCAGCAGAATTGTCAAGGTTTGTTTTGTGTCCAGTTAAATAAATAACCACATAAGTCTTAATACCTCAGCAGTATTACATTATGACAAATTAAAACTTTTAGTGTTTAAAGGAGAAATTTTCCATTGCTCTAAATCTGTTATAGTGGGGCACCTCTTTCCAGAGATACCCAAGATAATTCACCCTGGGTTTAAGTGTTAATACTAGTTGAAATATGCACAGTAAAATTGCATTTGTGATTGAATCAGTTGTCAGGCTGCTCCTCCTGTTCCTCCAGTGACCTCATTTTGTAGATAAATTTCAGTGGAAGCCTAGGGCTTGGTGTATTCTTTGGCAGTACATGGAATAACTAAGTGAAGACACTGAAAAGAATGCAGTTTAAGTGATATATGAGTTCACGCTATATTTTAGTGTCCTGTAATTGGGTAGATTTATTTGTGTTGACCAGGTGGCCCTTAGGGATCCACAGAAACTCCATCAAAGCTGTGCAGGTTCTGCCCAAACCCCTGAGTGATCCCTCTGTCACCTGTGGAATTGTTGTTACTTACATATGGTGGTTTTGATTATTTGTCTTCAGCTAGCTGCTGTCTCAACCCGTGTTTGCTGTGTTGTGCCAGGTGAAAGTTCCAGCAGTGACACAGCAGTGGGCTGCAGCACTGAGCCAGATGTAGCCATGAGCCCATGGCAGAACTGTGAAGAGGACCCAGAACTGAACACGCCCACAGATGCTGTGGCTGACTCTGATGCCCGCCACTGGTTACAACTGAGTCCTACTGATGCTTCAAACTTAACAGGTAACTGTGTGTTTGAAAAAAAAGTACTGCTACAAACAGTTGGGAGATCCCAGAGGTCCCTGCTTGTGAGAACTCTGAATTACTTGGCACACTGTGATGGGATGCTACCTCCAACCAAACTGGAATCACAGCTCCAACCACCTGCTCATGATTAGTCATGAATTGTTAGAGTCCTGTATGGAAAGGGTTCTGAACCTGGGCAGATTTAAGAGGAAGCTTGTTATGTATGACTCTGTCCCATGGGAGGAAGTGATGGTGCCCATGCAAAAGCCGTTGCCGTTCCTCATCAGACTCTCTATTCTGGAGACAGAGATCAATAATTTTTCTAGTTACTTGTATCATACATCTAGAACAAGTCAAGGAGTTTGGCTATCTTGTCTAATTTTGAAAGTTCTATAAAATATTTTGATACATACAATGTAAAGTTGTGACATATATGTGGATTAATGGACCAGAATAATAAAATGAATGTCAGTAACGTGCTAGTTTAAGAACTAGCACCAAGTTTCCAGAAGCCCTACTCAAACCCCTTTCTTCTTAGCATCCATTAAAAAAATATTTTATTTATCACTTTTATGTGTATAAGAGCATTGCCTGCATTTATGTAAATGCACCTGTGTTGTATGGTGCCCTCGGAGGTCAGAAGAGGGTGTCAGATCCCTTGGAACTGCAGTTACAGATGGTTGTCAGCTGCCATGTGAATGCTGGGAATTGAACCTGGGTCTTCTGTAAGAACAGCCAGTGTTCCATCTTTCCAGCCCCCACCTGTCCCCATCTTTTATGTAATGATTCTCATTTTATAATGAGATGGCTAAATGGGTTAGAGCACTTGCTGTACAAGCGTAAGGACTGGAGTTTGAATCACCAGCATACATGTAAATGCTGAGCATAGCTGTGCATGCCTTTAACTCCAGTGTCAGGGAGGCAGATCCCAGGAGCCCAATGGCCAGCCAATCTAGACAAAGCAGCAAGCTTCAAATTCAGTGACAGACCCTAATTTAAAGGAATAGGGTAGACTGATAGAGAAAGATACCCAGCTTCCTTCTCTGGCCTCTGTATGGGTGCACATGTGCATGTGCTCTTGCACACACACAAATATGTACCACCCACACATATGTCTAAATAAATAAATAATATAGTAAATTCCCCTTGGGCATGGTGACACACACATGAATCCCAGCTCTTAGGAGGTGGATGGAACCAGGAGAATCAGGAGTTTAAGGATATCCTCAGCTTCATAAGGAGTTTGAAACTAGCCTGGGCTACATGAAGGCCTGTATTAAAAAAAAAAAAAAAAAAACCAACCACATAAGCAAAAGTGCATGGCAAAAGCTTTGCCGTGCCCTTCTGCTTTTTAGTTTTGTTCCTCAATTTAAAAACAAGTCATAGTCTGCTTTATTTGAAATCTTTTCTTTAGTATTGTATTTCTAAGATTCATACATAAACTGTCTACACAGCATACTTTCTGGGTCTGCATCCATACTCTGCCAAGGAGTGCAGATGTCTCAAGCTCATTATAAGATATATATCCTTCAATTTCTGTACACAAAATAATAATAGTAATAATAATAATAATAATAATAATAATAATAGCAGCTCTTACCTTATAGAGTTGTTGAAGGAATGAAAAAATCTTCAGTGTTCTTTTTAACCAAGTAAACTTTAGTTTTTGCTGTGATGTAAAACTGAAGATAACCAAAGTGTGATAGTTTTGAAAATCCTTGATATTGTATCATCAAAGTGCCATAAAATTAACATATAAGTGTATTGGATAAAATTATTTACAGACTGGATAATGATCTTGACTATTAATACTGTGAACTTTCGTAAGATTTAACACTTCACTAACAACTCTAATTCTGTGTAGTAAATAGGCCAGGTCTTACCATTTCTGTTTTTAGGAGTGGTAAATCAAGACCCTGAGAAATCGTTTTATCCCTCTAGAAAATATGATTAAGTGCCAGAGTTGGAACTGGTCTCAAAGTGTTTTAGCTCAGTGCAGTGCTGTCTCTATCCCTTTCTACTGTATTGTGGTTAAAATTATAGCCATGAAGCTCTTTGAATGAGGACTGTTAATGTATTTATGAAATAAATGACTTTTTAAGGTCCACTATACAGAGTATTCAAGAGAATTCATCATAATGGTACTATAGATCTACTGCAGAATCTTCAATAAGTTGAATGTACTTTAAGTTAAACTAGATTTAATTATTTTTATTGAAAGGAAGTAAAACTGAATGATTATTTCTTTTGTCTGTTCTTGGGAAAGATTAATTTTGATCCCATTTCAGAGTATGCATTTGACTGCTCAATTTAATGAATTTGTGTAATTCTGTATGATGCACCGTGTTGTGATTAACTCCTCCAAATACTTTGTTCTTCTTTGAAGTACTAATATAGAGAATCAGTACACTCAGTTCAAGAGTTCATCTTGTCAGCTGTGAAAAGGACAGACTGTAATATGATGAGGTTTAAGGATTATCACAGTTCTGAATTTAACTTTCTGTTCTTAAGAGAACAGTTTCTTCATACATGAACAAAATAAAACACTTGCTAACCTGATTTTTAAGAGATACAAAAAGAACAAACGGTTTAAATGTGACTTGGGGTATAGCTCAGTGGTAGAGCTAGTATGTGTGAGGTCCTGGGTTGATCCCCAGCATTACAAAAAGCAAAAAGTATTTCTATTTATCACTGAATAATTCTGTCTGTTATCAAATGCTTAGAAAAATGAACTCAAGAGATAGCTAGCATTTTACTTTTTATATTTGCTTGCTTATTTAAATTATTTCATGTTTGCTGAAAACAATGGCTAAGTTTATTGTGCATTGTTTTAAAAATATACCTGGGCTACATTTCATCAGGTGTGTTAAGACACACAAACAAAATGATGGTAATGACAGAAAAAGTTTATCTTTACATGACTCTGGACACAGGAGCCATACAGGGAATCTCTAGGGTCAGTCAAGAGGCAGAGGAAAGAAAATAAAAAAACTCTGTTCCCTTAACGCTCTGCCAAGCCTACATAAAATTGCAGCTTTTTGAATTGGCAGTTGGTTATAACTACCTATTTTTCTAGTTACCAAGATTTAATTCATAGTAAAAATCTTTTTAATATTTTCCAATCCTGAACTTTACATTTTTGTCTGTCAAAACCATGTATGTTTTTGAGAAAGATAAAATTTTACATGTTTGTAAAAGTTCATACTTTAATATAAAATATTTAAGGGCTCCATGGCATTTAGTAATAATGAAACAAAAAGATATTGGGCTAACAGTCTAGCTTGCTAATGAAAATAAAGCAAATTTTGGTATTTTGGAGGTGAAATTTTCTAAAGTCTCTGAAATCCCCCTTTTTAATTAAGTGCTTCTTCATTGAGGAGCCATCTACATGTAAAATGTCAGCATCTGTTCTGTAACTCATGCCACCAGCAGGATAATTTTGGGCAAAAACATTTTAGCTCATTAAAATATTTTTCACAGTAATATCGGAAAAATGAACACACTCACTTGAAAAACTTCTAAAGAATTCAACATATTTTGATAAAATGATGAGGATGTTGCCTATGACTTTTATCTCAGAGACAAGAATTTTTCCTGAGTGCAAAGCAGTATTAAAGCAGATTTTGTAGGTCCTTTCATAACTGAGGGTCTGTTAGTTGGTCTAGCACAGTGCAGGTGGCGAGGCACCTGGCCTGCGCCTATATGGAGTTGTTATTCCAATCAAAGCATCAGTGTCACTGGGGTGCTGGGGCTGATCTCCCATTTGGGTGGGTACACTTTAAAAGCTGAGGTATTAGAGTGAAGCAAAGCTATACAATCACCTAATTCCTTACCTCTCCTCACCAGGTGTTAGACAATGTGGCAATCTTTATTAAAATATAAATGCCATACCATGCTTCTTGTTCCCTTTGAAAGCTTATTTGATTCATAAACATTCATTCACCTTTCCCCTTGTCTTCTCAGACTGCCAGGTGCTTGGTACCACACTTACCTTTTCAGGTGGAGTTTCTTCTAAGGCTTTATCAAAGGCAGTCAGAAAATGAAACCTAAAGCAAGATATTAGAAATAAGATCAAGCAGATTATTTGTATAAACAAGTTTTGTCAAATATTTTTGATCTGTGGTTGTTGTTTTTTTTTTTTTTCTTGTCTTGTCTTTTTTTTTTTAATTTGGACAAGGTATGTAACTCTGGGTGACCTGGAGCTCACTATATAGAACAGGCTGGCCTCAAACTCAGAGAGATCTGCCTGCCTCTGCCTCCCAAGTGCTGGCGTTAAAGGCATGTGCTATCACACCTGGCTGAAATACAAGTTAGAAAAGAAATCAGATTTCAAAACTGAAGGAAAAGGTAGCCGTCCTAGTTTGCTTCTTCATTGCTGTGATAAAATACTTTGACCAATACTAACTTGGGGAGGAAAAGGTTTATTCGGCTTACATCTCCCAGGTCACAGTTCATCAGGGAGCCCAAGGTAGGAAGTCAGGGCAAGAGCCTGGAGGCAGGAACTGGAGCACAGGCCATGGAGGAACACTGCTTACTGGCTTGCTCCCCTGGCCCCTGCTCAGCCTGCTTTCTTACGCAACACAGGCCCACCTGCCCAGGGGTGGCACCACCCACAGTGGGCTGGGCCTTCCCACATCACTCAATAATCAAGAAGATGCCCATAGACATGACCACAGACCAGTCCTATGGAGGCAATTCCCCAGTTGAGGCTCCCTCAACCCAGGTGTGTCAAGTTGACACCTAAGCTATCCAGCACGGTAGCGTAATAAATATTCATTAACTAAAAAGAAGCTAGTAGAGCTAAGAGGCCATGAGTGTACCAGAATGTGAAAAAGCAGAAGACAACTGAGCACCTTTTTAAATTAGCATTAGCAAGCGTAGACAAAGAGGCAAGACTGACCAAGGACACAGTGTGGGGGAAAACAAGTTAAAAAAAAAAAAAAGATTATTTTTAAAAAGGTTGAATAAACTTACACTAAATGAAAAATAATTTCTAGTTTTACTTAACCTTCAAATTGAAGAAACACTTTCTCATTTCCAACCTATCCCTCAGAAAGAGAAAGAAAGCTCTCTGCATCTCCTACCTACCATTTGCTACTTGATAACAAATCCAGACAAGATCAATATGATGAAAACAAAGTTAGAGATTATTTTATAAGCAAAAATAAATAAATAAACATTAGCAAAGGAAATCAAAGAATAATAGAGAAATATACACCATGGCTAAGAGAAGTTATTCCAGGAATGTAAAGAAGAGAAAAAATTTTATTTCCTGCTGTTGTGATAAAATACTCTGACAAAAACAACTTGCAGGGAAGCATTCCAGGATGCAGTCCATCATAGTGGAAAAGTCAAGGTGGCGGGAACTCAAATCAGCTAGTCACATCCACAGTCAAGAGCAGAGAGTAGGGTCTGGAGAGATGGCTCAGCAGTTAAGAGCACTGGCTGCTCTTGCAGAGGACCTGGGTTTGATTCCTAGTGCCCACATGGTGGCTAGCAATCATACATAACCCCAGTTCCAGGGAATCTGACACCCTCTTCTGACCTCTGTGGTCACTGCACAACATGGGTGTACTTATATACATGTAGGTAATACACTCATATACATAAAATAAAAATAATACAATCTTTTAGAAAGGAACAGAGAGTAATTAGTGAATTCATGCATGCTTGCTTCTCTACTCTTTTTGGGGGGTGGGGGTCTTTTTGAGACAGGATCTCCCTGTAGCCCCAACCAGCCTGGAACTCACTATGTAGACCAGGCTGGATCTCTCACAGAGGGCCACCTGCCTCTGCCTCTTGAGTGCTAGAATTAAAGGCATGCACCACAACACCCTGCTTGCTTCTCTATTCTTAAACAGTCTAGAACCCAAACCCAGGGCCATCCAACCTCAGTTAACATAATTGAGACAATTCCCCACAGACATGCCCACAGCCAACCCAGTACCTCATTTGAGACTTTCTTCCTATGTGATTCTAAAGTATGTCAAGTTGACAAAGCTAATTTTCACTATCGGCTATCATGAGAAAGATACCAAACAGCCTTCAACTAAGGAACATTCTGCAAAATGTCTGACCAGTACTCCTTGAAACTGTAAAGCCTGTCAAAAACATCAAAGCCTAAGACAAGATTACAGTCTAGTGAAAACTTGTGGACTCATGACAAATATTTTTTCCTATTTTCTATTATAGTTGCAATGGAGAGGGGCAGGTACAGGGCAACTAAGGAGCTTGCCATACAAGTATGAGGACTTAAGTTTAAATTCCCAGAGCCCACATAAAAAGTGGGTGTGGTGGTATATGCATCTGTAATCCCATAGTTCCTGTGAGGAGGCTGGAGCAGAGACAGGAGAATCCCCAAAAGCTCATGGACTAGCTCACCTGACATATATAGCAATGAATAACAAAGAGACTTTCCTCAAATAAGGTGGAAGGCAAAGACACCCCAGAGTTGTACTCTGAGTCCATAAACAGGCCATGGTGTGTGGTACATGCCTACACTCAATCTCTCTAATATCTCTCTCTCTCTCTCTCTCTCTCTCTCTCTCTCTCTCTCTCT